AAGGTTTAAATTTGTTGGGTTTTTTAATTTGCGAGGATCTATTTTTGAACATGGCTTGATACCATTATCGAAAATGACATTTCACTGTCACTACGAAAATACGAATAATTCTTGCTATAATTCTGGCGGTAAATATGGACCAGAGAACAAAGGTAGCGTTAGCTTTAGCGATACAATTATTTGAAGGGGACAGCTTTGATAATGATTTACTTACCATAGCATGTAGTAAGTCGAGGACAGTGTGTAATATTGCTATGCTATTCCAAAAAGAGGATATACAGCAGCATTTTAGGTTAGGATATTTGTGCGGCGAAGAATGGGTCCGGTATTATTTGGACTTTGATTTTCAACGGCTATTTCGGTAAGAATTACAGAAAATTCTATGCGATACTCTTTACGCCATGCTTTGTGTGATATCTATGTAATTTTCTTATTTTTTATAGGATGCGTAAGGACATTTTCAAAGAACTTGTCAAAGTTATTGCCCCAAGTTATGTGCCCAAAATGCAACGTGGTGATACCCCTGCTATTACAGTTGACAAGGCAACACTTATGACTCTATGGTACCTGGCCAGTCAGACACCAATGGAGAGTTTGGGTGATCGATTTGGTGTAGCTCCTTCTACAGTATATCATGAACTTAATTGTATTGTTGATATCCTTTGTAGATTAAGCCCTAAATTTATAGTGTGGCTTAAAGAATATGAGTGTGCAGTTGTAAGGCAACAATTTCATGACAGAGCAGGATATCCAGGTACGTATGTTACTTTGCATCATGTATATTGCTCGTTTAATACGTGTGTATCAATTGTCCACATCAATAATTGCGTTTAATTAAAAATAATACAATCTCATTGTTGAAACACTAAAAAATTGAACCGGCCGATGTAAGTGCTGTGCACATTTGAACTGTATACAAATACGCCGATTTTTATACGTTAATTCTTTTCACTGCTATCAATTATACAGAATACTTTATGTCCATACTTTGTAGGTGTGATCGGTGCCATTGACGGTTGTCACATTGATATACTTGCTCCAGCTGATGATCAGGATTCGTACACGGACAGGAAGATGAATCATTCTATAATCTTACAAGGTGGTTCTTTGTGGTGGACAAAAATCTTTTATCTGCAGGTAGTGAAATTGAAGAAATATTTAAAAAGTAATTTTTGTATGCAGGTATCTGCACAGCTACTAAAATATTTACCAATGTTTCCATTGGTACACCAGGATCTCGTAATGATTGTCGTGCTTTAAAATATTCAACTTTTTACAAAAAAATAATCCAGGAAGGACCCGAGAGCTTATTTTACAATCCCTACAATCATCTTGTTGGTGATAAGGCCTATCCTAACAGAACTTGGGTCATGGTACCTTATAAGTATGTGCAATATTAAAATATACTTAATATATAATATTCTTATATTAGGCAGAAAATGTACTTTAAAATTTATATACTATTCTTTCATTTCCAGAGACTATGGAAATCTCACTCTGACTCAAAGGCGTCATAACTTTATCCATAGTTCAACAAGAACTGTCATAGAACACGCATTTGGACTTTTAAAGGGACGATGGCGATGCCTGCTGAAATTGAGACTCAAACGTATTAACAGAGCTACAAACTTTATTTTAGCATGCTGTGTACTTCATAATTTCTGTTATCTACATAATGATGATGTTATTCAAGACATGGTAAATGATGATAGACAGATGCGACAGCAAAATTTAAGGGGATATCATGATGCAGCAAATGCAGACATTGCTATACAGAAGAGGGACCGCATTGCCACCTTGTTATAACTTAAAATTAATTTTTTTTATGTGTTACAGTGGATACAAAATAAATCACTTTAAAGAATTACATGGAATTTATTATTTTTCTTACATTCTTTTCAAAATCAATATTGTTTCAGAAATATTTCAAAATAAACATTCGACACTTATATATTTGAAAATCGATATGACAGCCAGGATATTAGCACCGAGCATAAACATATATATCAGACTTCTATATATCTGTTTCATAGTAATTAAATATTAACGGCACCCTGACAATAAATACTATAAAAAATACTAATACTGCATCTAACTAATCGAAAACGCTATAATAGTATAAACTAAAGATCCGTTTTATATATAGCATTATGAACTAAGGGCAATTTGTTAACAGTCTTGAGAAGTGCTACATATTCTGATATATAATAAAATTTTAAAAAATTAACAGTAATTAAACATAAAACATCTTTAATGTTATGTGATGATACTAATTAATAACTGACAAATATATTTCTAAAACTAAAATAAAAATTATTGCTGCTTCATAAGCAATGGTAATTAAAATCATAAGATATATTTCTCAGGCTGCATTCTATATAAAATAATCATTACTTTATCACAGCCAATTTTTTCTAATAATTATCCTTTGGTTGGATTAAAAATAAATCACATATCGGAGGAAATATATATTAAAAATATAAATATAGAATTATATGTAAACTAAACTGAAAAACAATGTCAAACATCAAACGCAGTGTGAATCTTTCATTACTTGTCAAATAGTTTAGAGAGAATTTCCAACATTTGTTTTTTCGATTCTTTTTCTTGTTCCATTTTTTTTAGTAAGAAGCTGCACAAGATTTTCATTCTGCGTTTTTCTCTCTTCTGAATCCTGTTTTAAAAAATCCAATAAGGCACTGTTGTCAACTTTTCGTTTTTTGGTCTTGGTAGTATTTTGCACTTTTAAAAAGGGGTTACTTTCTTTTGATTGGAAATCAATTCTCTCGCATCATCGTCAGACAAAGGCTCGTCAGAATCCTTAGCACTGCAATTAAATTCTTGAGGACGTTTACTGCTTTTTAAAAAACCATCTGATACTGATGACGATGAGGCCTGATCAGACAAGTCTGACATTGTGTCCATTAAATTAACTGGGGTCGCCTTAGCAGAATCCTTAATAATGTTTCGTACTTCATCATAAAATACAGGCTTTTTCAACTTTCCAGCTCCAGTACTCTTAGGCCCTCCATTCTGAATGAATGTTATAGTTTTTCCCTCCATGTTCCTCCACTTTTGAGAACAAACTGTACCCGGGTCTCGATGACCAAAATTATAACTCAGAGCCATCATTTCTTTGGCAATTTGTGACCAAACATTTTTTTTTGCTTGTTTTGTCTTTTAGCAAAGATTTAAAGCGATCACTTCTGACAAGCTTAATAAGAGCATCAGTTGCCTCTACATCATGGGCCGAAGGCTTCCCTGAGTTTTTTACCCATATTTCTTCATGTATTGGTGGAGATGCAGTGACACTGTTAACTTGAGGACTCACTTCGATCAATTGATCAACAGACTCCTGTATAAGGCGCGTATGTGGCAAGAATTGGCGTATTTCTTTATTGTCTGGGACGACAAAAACAGAATTGTCTGAGAATAGAGAGTAAAATTTATTAGACTACAAACTGAGGATATAAAACTTGGTTAAATGGCGTTTCTAAATGCTTAATTATTTACTTAGTTTATCATATACTAAAAGCCCTGGATTTTGTGGATCTTCCGATATTTGGATATTCCCGAAATCATCTTGACACAACATATGTTGATCACGATTTAATATTATGTCGTCATTTTGCAGCGGCGGACTCTTTCCCGCTCAAACAGGTAACTGCAAACATGCAAACGACCTCCCCGGTTTGGTTGGATGTTTGGGTTCTACCACGCTAACGCGTTAGCATCGGTGACATCACAACCACGAACGAAAATAGCCGTGGTTGCGTCTGGTTGGTAGTGGTTGGATAACGAAAATACGCCTAAGATATGCTGGTAAGTTCCATAATTTTTAACTATTGTTTATTTTTATATAAAAATTAATATACTAATCTCAATACTTACTCTTTACAGTTGGATGGAAGGTTTATCTATATCTAAAGAAAGATCTGGGTTTACCATTGCCATCTTTATTCTACAATATGCAGATATACAAGAAAGACTGATTTTCAACCTGGTTTGTTAAGAAATGTTTTTTCATTAATGGCAAAGAAAAGAGAAAGTTATAAATCTTCGAATCAAGACGACTGTGTTATTTTAATGGATGAGATGGATATTCAACCAGCATTAGAATATGATGTTAGCACAAGTGAGGTTCAGTTATTATTATAGCACACAACAAAATTAATTAAAATTGATTGTCTTAGCATAACTTACTGTAGAAAGTAAGTATGCAATGACAACTTTAAACTGGACAACAATGATCTGCTACCGTTTAATTGTACATACAAATTATGTTGTAAATACGAGTGTCCTTACTTATAAATAACGAAGGATTCATGGAAGTTGTCTACTTATTAAACATTACCTTTTACCTTCCTGATTTACCAAATTTCCGTATTTGTAATTTCCTAATAATTTCTTTATTAAATGATTATTTTTTATCAATTAACGTTGCACATATCAATAAACATTTCAATATTTTTCATTTTTTGCCATAGGATCATTTGTTGGACAAACGACGTGTGATGAGATAGAAAAGTTAAGCACTTCTATTGTTGTTTTTATGCTTAGAGGTTTAAACGAAAATTGGAAACAAATTGTTTCATGGCATCTTACATCTTAGTCTTCAAATGATAATATCATGACTCAATTACTGTTTGAAATTGTCGAAGAAGCAGAGAAAATAGGTTACAAGGTCCACGGATTAGTTTGTGATATGGGTCCAAAAAATCAAGCGATATGGCGCAATTTAGGAATTAAAGTTTCGAGAAATAATAACACTCCGTTTGTAATGCATCCAATACGGCCTAATGATAATTTTTATATATTTCCGGATATACCACATTTATTGAAAAACCTACGGATGGCTTTAACTAACAATTCTATTATTACAATAGCACTGTCAATTGTAGAATCAGAAAATTTGCCATGCAATGAAGTTAGATTTAAATATCTCGAAGAATTAAATGTAATTCAGCAACGTAAAAATTTAAAATTAGCTCCAAAGCATCCGTACGGTGGATGGGGCAGCAGCTCGTAGCCCAATTCGACCAATTTGGCCGTGGCACCGACCGATATTGCTCTTTTTCCATTTTTCTAAAATCCGCGGACACGCCCGCTTCCACACACGGTCAAAACAAAACTACGAGTCCGATTCGGCTGAAATTTTGACAGTAGCCGTCTACGAGAATGTACTACACGTTAGTAAATTTCTCTTGCGATAGAAAAACCATCGGGCGTTGAGGCTAAGTACTTATCGGACCACCCTCGTATAACTATCAACATTGTGAATCCAACAGGATTCAACAAAATGAATGTAGCAGCTGCAGCACATATATTCAACGTAAAAACAGCTGCTGCTCTGGAGACATTGATACAACTGAAATTAATAGATAATGAAGCTAAAACTACAGCTTGGTTTCTTAGAAAAGTACGGGCTTGGTTTGATGCGATGAACAGCAGAAAGCAAAATGAAGCAATTACTCTAAGTAATAGAAACTTAAAAATTGGTATTATTGACGATTTTTTACATTTAATCAAAAATATAATTATTGGTAACTCGTGGAAACCGGTTCAAACTGGAATAAAAATGTCAGCTTTAAACACTATTACATTGACTGAATATTTATTTAAAAATGGATATCTTTTCTTTCTAACTTCTCGTCTAAATCAAGATGCCATTGAAAATTTATTTTCCTCGTTGCGTCGAAAAGGAAATATAAATCCAACAGCTTTACAAGCTAAACGTTGTCTCCGCCTCGTTACATTGTGCCAATTTATAGATACCCAGAAAGAGAAAAAAAATTATGCAGATGATGACAACGAGTATTATATTGATTTCTTCAGTTCATTAACAAATAAGAATAAGGATAACGTAAATAATACTATCTATTTCAGCCAAAGATTGCATGTATTCACACATATACGAAAATAATCAAGATTATTCGGATATTGTGCCAATAACAAATGGATTGGAATGTAATGTAATTAATAATGTCCTAGGAAGTGCAATGTCTTATGTATTAAGAAAAAAATTCGTTTGCAATAACTGTTTGAAGGCCTTTACTGTTGACGACAATGGTTGTAACTCATTTTATACCAAAGTACTTTCGTTTGGAATTTTGGAGAATCCTTCTAACAATATTTTTACATATTACTTTGGTTGAAGCCCATTTGCAAGCACATTTTGATAGATGTGCTTTGCATCCTCAATTATTTGAGCACTTATTAGAAATGATAGAAATATGGGCGCCTTATAAAAACTTAGAAATTTCAAAAATATGTGCAGAACGTACGAAACCGTGCAATTTCTTTTATTACGTTTTATATCGATATATTTGAATTCGCCAAATTATTTATGTAAATAATGAAAAAACGAAAATACGGTTATCCAAAAATAAGTCTTTTGGATCAAAAAGTGCCCATAGGCAATCGATTATTTAAATAATAATATATATTTATACAAATAATAGAATCTTATTTTACGACCGTACATTGTTAAACAATAACAAGAAAGAAGGAAGCACAAAGCGAAGCCTATCGGTCAAAGCTAGATCAAGATGCTTATTATCATTATGTGTGAATTTATATACCGCGTATGTAGTTCTCTCAATCGCGTGCCGAACATTTTTTCAGACTTACAACGCAACTCTAAATAACTACCGCGGTAATATCACTTTAGTTAGATTGACAATACAATCTAACAAATTTCGATGCTTATAGCATCTTATTAGATGTCGCCTGAAAAATGACGTTATTATTACTACTCTAGACAGATATTGCGAAGAATATTATTACGTCGACTCGCCATCAGAGGT